ATATGTGCTTGGCACAGAGGACCATGTTGAACACTTAGGATCCTCTACTGCACCTCTCATGGCCACACCATCCAGAAGATTGCCCACAGGCTTGGTCTGAGTGTGTCCTTGGCTTCTTTCACTTTATTTACTTAGTTACTCACTTCCATTGTATGTGACACCAGTGTTGGTGTGCAACAAGTTGGACAGGCTTAAAAAAAAATCACCCTTCAGCCTGAAGACAGGAGAAGCCCTGGACTAGATGTCCTATCACTACACAGCAACTGGGTGTTCCCTATAGCAAGACATTAGGAACAGAAACTCCTTCTGGCTCATTAACAGCACTCAAGAACACTTGTTTTACACTCACTCTGCCATGATGTATATCAATACAAGCCTTCTTAAGACAGAAATTGACAATGATAGAGGAAACTTACACACCTTACTCTTTGACAAAAAAAAATTCCCATAAGTCTCAGAAATTGACTATATTCATTAAGTTCATCTTGGATAACCTCTGAAAATAGGAAAACTTTCTTCTAAATCTGATCAGGAGCTAGGGAAGTAGCTCAGTGGTGAGTCTGAAAATCACATGTACAAAGACCTTGGATCTGGACCCAGCACCAATTAATAAATATTTTAAACATTTACTAAATATTTAATTTTAACCAATGTCCCATTATGGTAATATCAAAGGGGAAAAAACATTTACTGGATTTCCCACCTGGCCCCAGGACATGACCCAGGGCAGTCAAAGCCAACCTCACAGGTGCAACAGACACAGAAAGTGGGTAAGAGTCCGCCTTCCATCTCCATCCCCCCCACACACAGGCAGATCTAGTCCTGATTTCCATGAGCTTCCTCATTAATAAGAAGTCATGAGGCCAGGCCCATGAACAAAGAGCTTGTAGATGCCCTGGTCTAGTCCCTGTTTGCTGCTTACTAATTGCATGCTCATTGCTAAATCCCAGCACATGTTCAGCCTTCTATTTTCTCTCCTATGCCATGCAGATCACATTTATCCAAAGTCCTTATGAGGATGGCAGAGCACAGTGAATTCAAAATCCTGCCACTGGGACAGCTCACCCTGGTCACCAGGACCATCCCCTAGAGCTGCTGACCCACCACTGACAGCAACTCCCTGAGCTGAGTGCATGAAGGACTGAGTCAAAAGACAATGCCTGAATTTACCCTGGGTTGAGCCACACCTAAGAGGTGTGACCTGGGCAACTCACAAGTCCTCTCTCGGTGACAGTTTCTATACTAATACATATGATTCTGCTCATGCCAGAATCTAGCTGTGATACACAGAACAGGTCAGAAGTCCCAGAACATGAAGAAGCTCTTTGTATCAGGTTGTATCTCTGCACTAATCCACATTCATGGCCTCAGAGCTTAGCTACCAAGTCTTGCTTCATACCAGTGACTGGCCAGCAAGCCTGTCATCACTGATGGACCCTTTATTAATCCCATGAAGATTTGAATTGCTCTGGCCTTCTGAACTTCAGTCACCACTTGGCAGTCAGCACATGAAGATGTGGCTTTGAATCTATGGCTATTGAGCAGGGATAGCTCATGAGCTGGTGGGTCAGGAGCCCTCCTTGTTCTCTTGACAACTTACCAAGTGTCTCAGGAAGGTCTTCAGAGGGGTTTTCAAGCTTACCCACACCCTTTATACTACTAACAAGCAATTTTTCTCCTGTACAATGTGCCCCCAAATGCTTTCTACTCTCTAGCCCAGGTCTACAGCCTTCTTGGTCCATCTATAGCCACAAATGCCAACTGATTTATAGGAATTCCTGACTGCATCCATCACAACCTCACTGTCAAGATAGTTTAAAAGAAAATATGCCAGTGATTCCTATCAGTGTAGTCTCTCAGAACAAGGGTGTCCTTTGCAGAATGCAGAGTGGCTCCACCCACTACCACACAACTAGCCTTTAAAGCCTCCTGTGTCACCTGGGCCTTGGGCAATGGGCTGTGAGAGAGAGAGCTTATTCTGATACCAGTGGGCAGAGCAAGTGAGAAAAGTGAGTGGCTGGCACCTAGAGAGCATTCAGCCTCCATCAAAGAGTAACTACTACCTCAAGGAGGAAGATCCTGGGAACAAGGGAGAAACACCTGTCTGGCAACAACTGCTAAGACTCAACCCCATAAGTAACAGCCCAAAGGGGGTCTACAGGGTAGCCCCAAGGGCACTGCCTTCTGTAGGGTCAAGGTCAAGCCAGACTGCTAGGAAGTCTGAATCGCCTTCCTGGAGAATCTCCCCAATTCCAGGTACTACAACTGAAGCCCCCACTGAACTGGGGGGCATAGAGGTGGGATGTATATAAAATCCTCCAAAATCAGGGCCTTGAGTTGTCCCAGAAAACAACCAGAACCCAGGGATGTGGAGTGAGGTCAAGGCCTGGAATCAGGGCTCAAAGCCCTATCTTTGGAGACCATTCAAACTCTTTGCATCTCAGATACTAGAGGTGCTGCAAGGGAGTTGGTTACTACAGCCTAAGAGGAAGGGGTTCCCTCAAGAGATCCAGATGTCAAGTTCTGGCCTCCTTCAGACTTTTCTCCCCACCAGGAAACAGTCTGCAAAATGGTGAAATGCTAGGCAGGTACTTAGGAACACTTGTGGTTGCAGGTAGAGAGTTAGTCACTGCTAACATCACGTGAAGTTCACTGCTAACAACACTTGAAGTTGCTTCTTTGTTTCAGAACTGCTCTTTAGAAAAGGCCTGGAAGAACCAGCATAAACCAGTCAAAAATACAGAGCTCCTCTTCAAAGGGCAAACTTTACTCAATCTGACTCATTATAATGCTAAATTATCTGCTTTAAATGAAGTGCATCTGCCATTTGTTTGATTTGGTACTGGGAATAGAAGCTGGGGTGCTTTACCATTTTGTGGTAGAGATTTCTCAGAAGAAAGAAAAGAGAACATGATGCCCTCTGTATCATTGTGAGGCCTCGGGAAATTGGTTTTGAGCATTCTTGCTACTTTGTAGAATAGAAATATACTGCTCAAACAAGAATGTATATTACCTCATATGAAGACAAGTTTAGTATGTAAAAAGAAACTAACCAGACTATATAAGGGATCCCTCCCTACACTAAATGCTCAGCCTTTGGATAAGAATCCACTGAGCCTGAATGGACACAAATAAACACTGCTTCCTGTTGAATACCCTGGTGTCCCCTGTCTGTGTGAGAATCCCATGCAACATTTTATTTTGATTTGTTTGAGGCAGGATCTCACTTATCTTATCCTTCTCATTGCTATATATTTATAATGACCAGCTTGCTTAGAAGTGTTTACATCCTATGAGAAGTGAAAAGAAGATCTGAAAAAGGATTTTGAAGACTCTTAAATAGTAGTATTCAAAAACTTACATGAAAACCAACTCAAGTTTTAAGCTCCTTCTTTAGAAACATTAGATATGTTGTACTGCTTAAAAATAATGTATTCAAACTGATTTGTGCCCATGTTTGCAACTCTAATAAAATTACTCTTAAAATAGTCTAATGTGAGAGTTTTTCTATGGCAAGAATTCACATGGCTTGTATAGAAACTCTCAACAGGGCTGGAGATGTAGTTGAGTGCTAGAGAGCTTGCCCAGCATGTATAGGCCTTGAAGTTTAACTGCCAACACTACAAGAAAAGGAAAGGGAGAAAGAAGGAAGGAAGGATGGAAAAAAGAGGGGACAAGAGGGGATGGAAAGGAATGAGTCATTAAAACAAAAGGGCACGTGGTACAAATATAAACATATGAAGTACTAGTTCTTTAAAATTTTTACAGAGCTTTAGAATTTTAGTGACATCAAACTGGGTGACATTATGACTGTATAGAGTTCTGCCTTGGCCTGTCCTAAACCAACCAATGGGTGAGTGACCTGGAGATGACTCCTCTCTGGCTTGATTGCAACAGTCTTGAACCTGTGCTGCTTCAGGATGCATAATGAAGGGGCCAAGACATCTCTGACAGGGAGCATGAGTGTGCTAGGCCCCTGGGATCCCATGACCAGGGCTCCTGATAGGCATGCCCACAGCTACCCCCCCACCCCTACCAGCTGATGGTTCATAATGGTCTGCTCCGTTGCCTAGTGCATGTTTGTTTCTGACCAAAGGCCTCAGTGTCCACTGCCTGTTTTGGTGAGGCTGGGCATGGTGTGGTTGTTGAGGGAATAGTCAAAGTAGACTTAGCATGATGGAGGGGCAAAGGCTGCCCCTCAGCCCTATTTGCAGGTGGTCCTGGAAGAAGTAAGCAGAGTTGTGGTGTGCATTGTCTGAAGACATGGAAACACACACTAGTCCTTATGGCTGTTCGTGGGAATCGGTGATATGTACAGCTATTGGATTTTTTGTAGTTCTCTTGTTTTTGTGGCAAAGTTATCAGTCTGTGAGAAGCAGGCGTTACATGAGAAGAGAAAAAGAGCTTGCTTTAAAACTTTCTGGACTACTTGGAGAAAAATGTGAACTACTTTAAAAAATTAGCCTTGTTCAAAAACAGTATGAAGGCTTAGAGTCACTAAAAGATGCCATTTTGGTGAAGAAGTCAATAGAAGCAGAAAATTTGGAGGCAATATATGAAAACCTGGATAGGTCCACATATACACATGAGGATGAAATACTCTTTCTAGAAAAAGAGCTAAAAGAAGAGAAAACTAAACATTGTCAACAGGATGAATTGAAGGTGGATATATCAAAAAAGATTAAGGTCCTAGAAAATGAATCAAAATCCCTGAAGTCACAAATACTTGAAGCTAAAAAAGCGTTGAGAATGTTTCAAATGAATGAAGAAGAAGTTACGGTAGCTATAAAAGAGGCTTTGGATGAAATTCCCAACTTCAGGAAAGTCAGAAACAGCATTTAAAAGAAGTTGAGGTATGGAAAGAAAAAGTGAATGGCCTTAATAAACAAAAAAATGATATTTGAACACTCTAAAATACATGCAGAACAAGTTCTAAGAGATAAAGAAAATCACATTAATTCTCTGACTGAACACTTAATGAAGATAAAAAAAAGATGAAGGTAACTTGGAGTTGGAAATGGAGAATGAATCAGAAATTGGTGCTCACTTAGAAGATCAGCCCAAAGGGGCTTTGAAGAAACTGGTTTATGTTGCTAAGTTAAAGGCCTCTTTTATAATCTTAGAGAAATAAATCAAATTTTTACTTTATTATCTGAAGTAATTGAAACAAAGGAAGAGGTTATCCAACATATTAAAAATCTTAAGACAGAACAAGTATCTTTGCAAGCAGAAAATACACAGTTTGAAAGTGAGAATCAGAATCTTCAGCTGAAAGTTAAAATCATGATGGAACTATATCAAGATAATGTAATGGAACTCCAAAGGAAATTAATAGGAGAGCAAGAGGAGAAGCTTTCCAAAGTGGAAAAAAAAAAAAAAAAGATCAGCCATACAACTAAAATGCTGGAGACCTATAGAAAGCGAACCAAAGATCTTGAAGAAGAATTGGAGAGAACCATTCATTTTTATCAGGGGCATGTTATGTACTATGACAAAAAAGCACATGGTAATGAGTTGGCAGCTCAGAGTGCTGAAAGATACCTCAATGATTTAAGGCAACAAAATGCTCACAACAGAGAAGAATTAACTGAAATGGAGTTCAAATTTAAACTTGTAGAAAAAGATCCTTCTGTGCCTGATGTTTTGAATACAGCCTTTGGCAGAGAGAATTCCCCAAATGGTCCCTCACCTTTGGGTTGAGCTTCATGTGAAACAAGTCCTTCTCATTCAGAAAATAAGGGTCCACTCATACTCTCATCTTTGGTGCAAGAGGGCCCAGAAAATCCTCTGGACCATCCGACTAACAATGAAAGAAGGGAATCAAACTGTGATAAGTTAACTGATCCTCAGAGAGCACCTTTTGACACTGGGCCCCTGGCACCTCCATGGGAACAGGCCCATAGGATAATGATCCCTCCACCAGGCCAACCATATTCTGATCCACAGTGTCCTCTACAAAGCCAAGATGGATGTTATTCTAATTATGGTAGAAGACCTGGATCAGCAGAACTCAGAAGTTCCACTATGCAGCCTTTGGATAAAATGGATGGGCCTACATCTTCAGAAATGGAACTCAGTAGAAATGAAATCAAAGTCAATCTTGGTGATTCCAAAGTGCCTGATTCATCTCTCCCTGCTGACAACCAAGGAACTGGCTCTGGCTTTGCTTTCTAACCTTTCCCTCCAATCAGAGGTTCATTGTTTCCAGTGGATCCAAGGAGTCAGTTCATGAGAGGGCCCTTTTACCTTCACCTCCTCCAGGAAAAATGTATGGAGCATCTCAAGAATATCTTCCACTAGGCCCGCCACCCCCTCTATTTCCAATTGGACCATGGTGTTTTCCTCATAATCTCCCCCAAGAGCTGGATTTCTTCCCTGGTCCCCCACCCCTGCATTCTGAAAGTATATTTGAGTTCCCTTCAGGGTTGATTCCACCTTCAAATGAACCTGCTACTGAACATTCAGGAGCACAACCAGAAACTTGACAATATTTTTTATCTGCCTTTAAAAGTAATATATCTCTCATTGTTAATTTAAGTAATTGCTTTGGAGTGATTATACATTTGTTCCAATTGAAGCTCAATTGAATGGTAATTCTTAGGATATATTTTGTAAATTAATATGGTTTAAATATTAATCTTATGAGTAAATTATTTCCATTTTATCTTGTTCTAGAGAGTATAGCATTTAATTTGAATAATGCATTATTATAGGAGTAACAACCAAAGTTTTATATATGTAATCTTGCAGTTGGGGATATTTTAAACTCCAGACAAAGACTTCCCTTTATACCAAGAAACGTATTTACTGTGATTGTAGCAAATGTGAAAGTAACTTTATGCTTAATGAAAGATTTTAGTTAATTTAAAGTCGTGTTTATTATTGATAATGATAATAAAAATCAGCTAGTTTTTCTATATAAAAAAAGAATAACTAGAGCATATTAAGAGTAAACCAGAAAACACAATTAAACATGTCATGGAAATTAGAGACTTCAAAAAAAGGTTCCAGTTCTCAGAAAACTTGTAGGAATTTGGAGACCATAATTTAAATTCACTCTGTCCCTATTTTCCCTAATATATTCTTTATTTTATGCCTGTTCTGCTGTGGTTCACTGATAGGAGGAGTGTCCTAGTCTTTGTTTTGTCTTCAGGGAGCATTTTGTAAAATGCAAATGAATTATGAGGACTCTGAAATGAAGAAACAAAGACATAACTCCAAATTTGTTATTGTTACATTAGATAGTCATGAAATGACTCTGCTAAGCTACTATAAATGTTTGATGTTATTAATCTCAATTTCTGTATCATTGCAAATATGTAAGAATTTACAAAACTGCACTGGTCCAGAGGTGACACTTTGAACAATATTTCACTGATAGTGACCAAGAAAGAACATTTATTAAGAATACCCTAATTAAGAATTAGTGGTTAAAGCTTTTTTCCAAGTGTTAAATATACTCTTCAGTTTTTTGTAAAGAGCATACCTTTAGATCTAAAATAAATGCAGTAATATAATTTTCTTCTTAAATATAAGCAACACCTTTATCACAATTGATGGCCAGTGAAGACTTTCAATGATACTTGAGCCCACAATTAATTTAAATGAGAAACAAGTTGGGCCTTGAAAAAGAAACTCTACGAGTTCAATAAATCAAATCTGTTTTCCCTCAAGAGTAACACTGGTTGTTAAATTGATCCTATAAATAATTTTTACTTTCCAGCATAAAGCATTCCTTGCTCTAAATGAGTGGATGGCAGTCTACATCCATGGTCTGTATAAAATGGACTGGTGTTCCCCCACTGATATTAATCCAGAACTTCTTCTGCCCTAACTACTAAAGGAGAATAGTTGCTAGTATATTTCATGTTTTACCCCAAGAAACTGGAAATATGATAATTTCAGGTTGAAAACACACCTGAAATGCCTAAATACCATGATACAGTCTTATAAAAAGTTATAACTTGAGAAGAAAAACCTGAAATGTTCTTATAAATATGACACCATTTATTGAATAAGATTCCAACTTTGTTTACAGCTCTGAAAATGACAGTTAAATAAAATAAAACAATATTAAAAATTGGCAATTTATAGAAAAATAAGGAAGTATTAAGTCCAAAAATAAGTCATATATTCTATACATATTTATATGCATTTTACCTAAGTAATTGGGCTGTTATTGTAAAAATCAAAATTCCCACAACTAGTGAAGAAATCTCCTGATTTTTGAGCTGTTATAATTAAAGCAATAGCCTTTTTTACATATATCATAAATGAATGAAACTAATAGCTACATGATTAAGTGTTTTATTTAAAAACATTTTTTTAGTCGTTGATTTACCTTTATTCATTTATTTATATGTAGTACAGAGAATGAAGCCCAGTGCCTCACACATGCTATGCAGGAGCTCTGCCACTGAGTCACAACCCCAGCCCATGATTATTTTTATTAACCACTAATAATAATCTAAAAGAGGAAATTAGTATATCTCCATTATCAAAGAAATACAAGCCCAAAATAATAAACAACAAAAATTAGACCTGAGTTATTTTCTAATGTTCTATTCATTACAGGTATTCTTTGATTCTATAGTGGTTTTACCAAAGGCATGAAATATTTCCTAGCACTTGGCCAGCTCTACTCTTCTACAATAGAGGAAATGGTTATGGTAGAATTTTGCTGACATGAATTAAATTCATATATTCAGGGATGTCAATATTCCTCAAATATGCTATGGACCTGAAAATATTGTTATTGAGTAAAATGATTGTGTTTAAAAAATATTGAGGTGTGGGGTTGTGATTCAGCAATAGAGCATTCACCTAGAATGTGCAAGGTCCTAGGTTCAATCCTCAACACCACATATAGATTAATAAATGTATTGTGTCTATCTACAACTAAAAATTGGTTAACATGGCAAATTTGATATCATGTATATTTTAACTACAATAAAATGGAAAACAAACAACTTAGGGTTGCCAGTGAGGGAGCTGTGAGACTAAAGGAATAGACAGATGGGTTCTCAATGAGGATGGCAGGTGGCCGAATTTCTATAGGTGTTTTAGATGGTGCCACATCCTGGGATATCCAGTCTGGTGAGGTGTCCATTTGAGGATTAATTTGAGAGGGCTTAGTTGGTGATGGCATGCTGTTCCTAAATCCTTGCCTGAAATTTTGGTTGAGTCATTATGCCACTTGCTATATTAATATTGGGTCAGAGGAAAACATACAACTTTATTTTTTTTTTCAACATACAACTTTATGAAGGTCAAAATTATTATGAATATGGCCTCCTATTCTTAGAGTGTTTTAAAGTAACAGATTCCTGGAAATAAGAAATGACAACTTCCTTTGGGACATGTAAACCTCCATTCAAAACATAAATATACTTTATTAACCCATAGGAAAATTCTGTGATATAAATTACATGATGCACTTTTTCCTGAGTCCTCTCTCTTCCATTAGCCCACGCCTCTAATGAGAGTACCTCCTGGAGGCTGCAAGGCCTGCTGCCTGAGAACAGTGAGCTCTGCCTTGAGCAAACTTGAAAGTGGCTCTCTGGTGAGGTTCAGAGGAAGGCAGGAATAGAGAAGTCTGGGCAGGGCAATGGCATGGCATGGCATGACAAGGAATATTCTTGGAGATGCTGCCTTCTGTCTGGAGGACCTGCTGGAGGAACAGGTGTTGAAAGGAACTGTGGCACCAGGGAACATAGGGAAGGAACCATCCAAAACATGCTATGAAACCTGGCTTCTCCTAGGAACTTTTCAGTAACCCTGTCTCTCCAACTGTTCCTGGAGAGGTGTGTGGCTGTCTGCATATGGGACAAAGTGCCTAGTGACCCTTTCTTCTTCAAGGATAAAATCAGGGCCTTAAGCAACTTAGTGAGACCCTGTCTTTTTGTGACTGGCTTATTTGAGTTGGCCTAATATTTTCAAGGTTCCTTGTGTCATAGAATGCTATCAGTACGTCACTCCTTTCTTTTGCAGAACAACTTTCCACTAGTGGATATGCCATATTTATTAATCTATTATGTTAGTTGACTGAGTAACTTGTACTTTTTGGCTATTTGAGTAACGCTGCTGTGAACACTCATATACAAACTTTTGGCTCCACCTCTACCTTTTTTTCTCGTGGGTGTACCTACAAGTTGAATTGCTGGGTCATTTAGTAACTCTGTGTCTAACATGCAAGGAGTTGCCAGACTGTGCTAGAAAGCAGGCACATCCTTTACATTTTCTTCCCCAGGTCACTGTGTGTCCTTATCCCTGAGAACATATTCTATTGTCCATGTCTTTGATTGTAGCCATCCTTCTAGCCATAATGTGGTCTCTTGTTATGACTTTGATTTGCAATTCCTTAATGATAAATGATAAATTATGACTACAAACATAATGATCTTTAGAGAAGTACATATTCATGTCTTTGGACTTTTTTAATTGGATTTTCTTTGCTGTTACAATTCTTTCTATATTTGGGGTAACAGTTATTTTTGAGTTATAATCTATGATTTGCAAATATTTTCTTCCATTCTGTGAGTTGTCAATTAAATTTCTTAATGCATACTTTGAGGCTCAAATCTTATTTTCAACTAAGTTCAACTTATTTTTTTCTTTTGTTGCTTAGCTGGTGCCGTATATTAGTAACCACTAGTAAAAGTAAGGCCAAAACGATGTATTCCTATATTTTTTTCTAAGAGTTTGTAGTTGTAATTTTGCATTGAGTTCTGTGATACATTTTGATGGTGTGTGTGTGTGTGTGTGTGTGTGTGTGTGTGTGTGTGTGTGTGTATGTGTCTATGGATGAAGGGAGGGAGTCTGATTCCATTCTTTTCTAGTCTGATTCCATTCCATTCCATCTGTTCTCCCAGAACTCTTTGTTGAAAATGGTTCTTTGTTGAAAAATGCCCATGCACTCTTGGTGATGCCTTAGCACATAATAATATTGATCATACATAAGGATTTTCTGCCAAAACTCATTCATGATTTGTTCTTCAGGATAAGAAGGCACAAAAGCCCTCTCGGTAAAAGGTTTGCTCTCTCCATCCTTCCCAGCTCACTGTACAGTGCCCACCTGCAGGTATAGGTACAGCCTGCAGTTGAAGAGGCTGGACTGTCTCTGGGCCTCAGGCCCTGAGGACTCCACTTCTGTTGAGCACTCATGCCCATCCATCTAGGTCCACGTGTCAGATTAGCACTTCTGACATAGGACACCCTAGTCCAGCCTACTTGACAAAGCACATGTTCATCTAGACTGGTCAGAGACCCAGGCACATTGAACCCAAAATGGACTGTTAGTCCCCTCAAATGCATAGCTCCAAGTATCTACCAAACAGGTCTCTTCCTAGGATGTCATCCAAAGAGGCACAGGAGCACATTCTCTTCTAATCCATCCATGTAGCAATCCGTTATTGATTGTATGGGTAGGGCCCTTGACACTTTTGACCCCATTTTTTTCTGGTGAGGGGAGTGGATTGAGTCTTCC